GTACAGGAGATGGCCTATTCACGAAACGAGGTAATGAGTAATTAAGTGTACAGCGCAGCCCAACCGCTCACCTTCAACGCCACTCTCCAGATTCCGGCACCACCAATGACGTTCACAGCAGTTAGTCATTACCATCGTGAACGATGGTGTTGACCCGTCGTCATCGGTCTTATGCCCCATCCTGACGACACAACTTCGCAAGAGAAAGCCGCGGCGATGATTGGGAGGGGCGGACTCGGGTATTGGCAAGATGTAGTGTGTAAGAAATCGACGAATTAGTTCATACAACGTAAGTTTCGTCAATCTTCAAGTTGCACAACTGACCTTTTCTTTACAGCGTGCACCTCAACCCTCCTTGCCACATTCCTGCCTCCAAGCGACCGTTGAGCCAGCGTGCACCCTAACTCTCCCCACCACGATCCTGCATCCAAAGGAGGGGATTACAGCCGCCCGTTTGGTGGGCTATTGCTTGAGGATCGTCCGTCAAGGCGATGTGGAGATTGCGCGAGGAAAGTTGTTCCGTCGATGCTGAGTGAGTACATGAGCATCTTTACGCACAGTGCCAAACGGATGACTTACCTAGCGATAATCTTCAGCTCCATCCGTTGGGCGCTGTCTTCTTGGCAGCCTACGGTCTGTCCATGCTGCCCTGGCATCTCGCCCGACCGTTCTCGACATGTCACCTCGATTGGAATGAAGGGGAGTTGCGAGGCGACGAAGTGAAAGAGGATCTGTTGGGAAAGGTACGTCAACGTTAATTGAAGTGTACGCAGTAGGTTCTGACTTACCCATTCCCACTCCCCTCGCTCACGTCGCCAATCCCGCTCATGCATCACCCTATCCGTCAACACTTGTTATGCCCATCGTTTATCCCCAACCTTCGGAACCGACGTTGCCGAATTCGTCTACAGAGTGTTGTCGTTGAGCTGGTACAGGTCTGGGCGTGTTTAGTTGACTTTTGGGGTTGTATGAGTATTGAAAGAGGATTCTGGTACAAAAGGTACGTCAACGTTGGCTCGAAGTCTACGCAGGAAGTTCTGACTTACCCTTTCTCGTTCCCCCCGCTCACGTCGCCAATCCCGCTCACGAATCTCCCAGTCCATCGTCGCTTGCACGCCCATCGTCTATCCCCCGCCTTCAAAACCGACGTTGCCGAACTTGTCTGAAGGGTGTTGTCGTTGAGCTGG